AAATATGGCAAAATGGTTCTTCAAATATTAGGAAAATTGAGGTTTTATTATAAATATCATAAAACCTATTAGACCTGGAATTCTTAGAAATATCTAAACACAAAATTATAGCAAAATTTCTTCAATTCAAAATATTATTTTAGGATTTAGTCAATCAAAATATATACACAAATTAAAATTCAATTACTGAAATAAGAAAAAATTAAATCAGTCAATATTGCTTTAATATATAGTTTAATGATAATTTTCAGAGTTTGAAAGAAAAAAAGGACAGATATTTTTCAGCAGACTGGATAATAACACAAAATAACAAAAAAATACATGAAAGAAATGATTTAATATAATAGGTTTTGCATTAGCTATAATATATGCAGGGTTTTATTAGCCACTATTATATGATCCTCATTTAATAATATACATGCTTTATATTCATTTTTTTAATTTTGTTTTGTAAGCAGAAATCTTAAAAGACTGAAATAATTCCTAACAAATTTGTTAAAGATGCCACATAACAACTTAATATCGTGTTTTGTTTTCAAGTATTCTTGTTTTGAAGAGTTAAATGCCAAAAATGAGAGCTAGTACCATAAGCTATAATATGACTTATTCAATAATATAAAGGAAAGTTACGTGGTGAAAAATAAAATGTTTGGGAAGCCTCAGTCTTAAAATCTGCATTAATCAGTCTCACAGAAGTGCTTAGCCTAGAAAGATAAACTATTTAACAAAACCAAAATCAATTGCTATAGTTTTTCATCTTATAAACCACTTAAATATACTAGATAATATAAAATAAATAAAAGTACAGTAATAACTCAGTGGTATATCCAGGACCACCCACTACAGCTTTGCTATTGATAGGACATTTAAACAATACTAGATAACACAGAATACATAAAAATAAAGCAATAATCCATTGGTGGATCCAGGATTTTATGTGTATGTTCAACAGGGTACTTTTTAACATATCTGGGGAAGCAGCAGTGATAAAGACAAGAAAGAGGGTGAGTAAAGGAGAAAAATCAACACCTTCTCTCATTCCAGCTAGGGGACCTGTGGTAGAGCAACAATTATCAACTTGTTATTTAGAAGCTGATATGAAGCAACAATTTCCAATTAATTTATGTTTTTAAAACTTTGTCTATTAATTACAGATAATCACCATAACCATGTGGAATACAATACACAACAACACACAAATCAAAATGTACTTGTCTTCCTCAACCAGTACTACCTAACCATACTCATAAAATCAGATACATTAAACGTAGAACAGCCTAGTGTTTTCATACTTAACTAATTACAGTGTATATTACCATAATTCTGCATACTAGAAACAACACACGGTTTGTGTCCACCAAATAATTGTAAATTAGGTAAAAAATGCTGCTAAATAAATTAGACTTGTATTACAGAAGAAAAATTGAGGTAAACAACAGGCTAATATCAGACTTCACAGTTTTGAAAGAGTAGTATTAAATTTTACACAGCATATTAGAATGAAAAAACATAACTGACAGTACTTACATGAGTTGGAATGTAAACATCATACACCCCACATGAATCCACATCCACTGCATGGAAACCTTCTGCTGATCCATAAATGACCTTCAGTCGCACACCTTCCTCAATGGTCATGTCTACCAGTAAGGGATGGTGAATCAGATCAGAAAAGGATTTGAAGGCCATGAACTTGTGATAAGGCTTAGGAGCCCATGCATAGATCTCAATGCTTTCCCGTAGTGCAATAACAAGAAACTTGATTCGTTCATATTTCACTGAAAACATAAATAGTTTAGCTCAGATATTATTTTAATAAAATAAACTTCCATGATATCAAAAGAAAGAAAATTCTCTTAATTATTCTTACAAACACAACAACAATGTGAATACATGTATAGTATGCTGTGTTATACACACACTGAATATTAAAAAAGTTAAGTGGCAGACTGACTTGTAAATAAGCTATTAAAACATTAACAATAATAATAATTATATTTCTTATTCACAGAACCTACCAGCTAATGATGACTAACTGCAAACTGACAATAACTGTCAGTAGTAAAAGAACACCTATCATCATCCAGATCTGGCTAATGCAAAAGTTTAGCAGTTATTGTTATATTTAAAACAAAAATAATATAAAGAAATTATCACATTTCCATTTCTTTTCACTATACCAGTAATGGATTTTTTTCTTATAATGTTTTATAAATACTAAAGGTAATGTAAAATTTGAACTTTCTTTTCCCAAAAAAATCAATCTAGCTCAATAAGTATTTTAGAAAATTTTGCATTAAATGTAACAAGAATTATAGCAAAGGTAAGAGTTCTTTTTGTTTCAGATATTTATGTAAAGCTAAATAAAGGTTATCTGCAGTAGCCATTCCAAATATTGAACTGATAAACCAACTGGAAGACAGCTAGTCAACAGTATCTACCACCAACTCTTAAGCTACTTTAATTGGATAGTGGAATCAGCTAAATACAAAAAAAATAAGATGTAGAGAAAAGTTTAGCATAGGAAATGAGTATAGAAGTAGTTCTAAGGGTAGGTTTAATTGTTACTATTGTAATGCTAGAAGACATAAAATAGATGACTTTAGAGAGCTGATAGAAATGGAGGATTTTGATATTATGGGAATAACTGAAACATGGTTAAATGTAAATGATTTTGATGACAGAATTTTTTTAAATAGAGAGTTATAAGCTATTTAGTAGGGATAGAATAGAAAAGAGAGTGGGAGGAGTGACTTTATATGTAAAATGTGAGTTATGATATTCTCAATTTCAACAGGACAAAGATAATTACAAGGAGATTAAATCCATTTGAGTTTTTATTACCAGATATAAAGGGAAAAAGCTTTGTTATAGGCCACCAGATGATACTGATGAAATTCATGAGAAATTTTATAGTGAGATTAAGATTTCAGCTGTTAATGAGATCATAATTATGTGTGATTTTAATTTCAAGCATATAGGTTGAGAAACATTAAGAATCAAACTTTGAGAAAGAAAGGTTTATGGAAACTGTTAAAGATGGTTTTCTTCACCAATTGGTCAAGGAACCTACTAGGAACAATGGTATTTCAGATTTATTGTTAACTCCTAATATAGAAATAGCTGAGATGGTGGAAATTGTGGAACATCTGGGTGCAAGTAATCATTGCTCTATTAGGTTTGATGTTTTGCTGAATATGGAAATCAGGAATAATGATATTTTGGTTACAAGTTTCAAAAAGGCAAATTTTGAAGGGACTCAACAAGAATTATTTGTTGTGAATTGGGCAGCCGAGTTATTTGGAGACACTGATCAAATATGATTACTTTATTAAAGATAAATTTTCAAATATTCAAGATAAACAAATTCCTTATAGCAAGAAAGGGGTGGCTGAAAGTAAAAAAACCAGGTTGGCTTCAAAGGGTATAGGGGATAAAATTAAAGAAAAGCATTAAAAATTTAAGCAGAGTTGTTATAAAGAGAGTTCAGTCAATCTGGATTAATGTCACAAGAGGGGTACTCCGTGGCTCAGTCTTAGGACTGATGCTCTTTTTGATTTACATCAATAACATAGATGAAGTAATGTTCAATACAATACTTAAATTTGCTGATGGTATTAAAGTCTTGGGTGTTGCTGGCTGTGAGGAGGATGTTGCTGCTTTACAAAGGATTTGGATCATTTAGTTGGTTGGGTAAATAAATGGCAGATGTAATAAATGCAAGATAATGCATGAGGGAATCATAATTTAAATTATAAGTATAATTTGGATGGGAATAACCTCAAAAGTGTCATGAAAGAAAGGGATCTTGGTGTAGTGGTTGATCAGTCTCTTAAGCCATCCAAGCAGTGTGCTGTTGCTAGTGGTAGGGTAAATAGGATATTAGGATTTATCTACAGAAATACTGAATACAAGTCTAAAGAGGTTATGATTTCGTTGTATAGATCACTGGTTAGGCCACATTTGGAATATTGTGTTCACTCTTGGGTTCTTACCTTAGGAAAGACATTCAATTGTTGGAAAGGGTTCAGAGGCGGGCTACTAAAATGGTACCAGAAATGGAGGGGTTGTCATGAGGAGAGGTTAAGATCTCTGTAACTGAAAAATAAAAAGTTAGAGGCAGTTTGTTTGAGGCATTTAAGATTATTAAGGAAATTGATAGTGTTCATGCATCATCTTATTCATATTTAATGGTGAGAATGGTAGGACTAGGGGGACATAAATATAAATTTTGGTAAGGTTAGAGTAATCTCCAGCTAAAACAGTTTTATTTTTCTAACAGGGTGGTTGGCCTTTGGAATGAGTTGCCTTCAGATGTTGTAGAGGCAGTAAATTTTAGTGAGTTTAAGAGAAAGCTTGATAACTATACAATTGATAAGGGCTGGCTTTGAGGTTTTTTTGTTTTATAACTTAATAGTTTTAGTTCAGTTCAGAGGTTAGGACAGCCTAGATGGATGAATAGGTTCATTTTTGTCCTTAAACACCGTGTCATGCTATAATGCACCCATGACCTCAAAGTGCAATCCTTTTTCTTTTTTCACTTTTTCTGGATTCTTAGCTAAACACTCTGGCATGCTAATTGCTAAATCAAATCCTGTTAATAAGTAGAAGACCTATTTCATTATGAAATTATACAAGTCTCACACAACTCAGGAAATTTTACAAATCAATATTTGTAGAATATAAAAAAGGTAGATCTGAAATAAATAACCATCTTTAAACAGACATGTGAAAGATTAAAAAGAAACTAGAAATACAGACAATCAAAAATTACTGGTCTCTTTCTTCTAAAACAAATACATGACCCGAAGACAGTTTTGAAATAATTAAAGTTATTAAACTTTAAATATTTTTTCAAAGAGTAGATACAATGTTGATAAGACTCCTAGTAAATAATTTGTGAAGAAATGAATGGGTTAAAATCATGATATGTCCCAACAGAAAAACAGCATTCTGACAGTATTCATTTTTCTATCAATCTACAGTTTTTACTTTGCTAGATTTTATAATGAATTCTAATTTTGAGAAATCCTGCTTTTACAAAACAGCATTTTCCTCACAGAGTGTAGTTCTAATATTACAATAATTATGTGGCATTCTCAGGTTAAAGCTGGATCCAACATTTTTGTTTATTTTCAAACAAACAGGCGGTATGAAATGAAATGTAAATAAGTTGGTCCTGCAAATGTTTTAATTGGTTATAAAAACAATTACATTAGCCAACCAAAAAATATAGACTTGGCACTAGAATCCCTTGTGGACAATTGTATCAAATTATGGAATAGTATAATGGAGAAGAATCAAGAGCAAAGTTCAAAAAGAAATAGCTTTGCTTAGAACTATATTGCACTTCTGAGCTCCACCAGTGCTTTTCAAAATGCTGTGTCATCAGGCAAACCCAATTAACATACATGTAGAACCAACTTCTTAAACATTACGCTGAGTAAAACTTAATAAATTATCTAGGAAGTATGCCAGATGTGAAGATAAGCAAGTTCTGGTCTTTTCATTACAAATGTATAAGATAATCCCTTACGACAAGATTATCAAGTTCAAAGATAAGTACATTTTGCCTACTTAGAACTAATTATAGAGACCTGTACTAAAACTTTGAAAACTTTTATGAATAAAGATATATTAGTATTCAGTAATGTTATAGAGGAGAGGGGTTATTTTCTGATATCTACATATCACAACTTAAAAACTTCTCATTGACTTTATATTTACAGAGATAAACAATTAACATATTTTCACTTATAATTCCTTTGGTCAAAATTTTAATCAACTGACTTCAAGAGTCAGTAAAGTCTAAGTTGAAGTTTGCATAATTCATCAGTTAAAAAGATCCATTTGTTAACAAAAGTCTAAAAAACTAATAGGGTTACCAATAAACATTTGAAAATAACCTGCTAACCAAATCAAACTACAGTATGTGTTAATTGAGTAAGGAAACACATTATGCTAATATAGTAATATGTAAGCAAACAATGATTTATAGGCATAAGGAAGAGTTTTATTGATGGTAGAACAAACATGTTTTGACAGAACATTGGTTTGTCATCTGTTTGCCTATCTATTATTACGGTATGTGTTTATATGTGCACAGTTAATACTGTATTACGATAAGAATGACAGTTATGTTAGTCACATCAGTCTTTTCTTGCCAAGTACTGGTTTCCAGTAAGAAGAAAATACAATATACTTTCATCTACATTATTCATTATATCACATCATCAATGAAGCTTTTAGTTCAATAACAGAATTTATCAGAACAGTTGGATTACAACATGCAAAGTCATAGTTGAACGGTCATTAACTCCTAATCATCCACGGTGGGTTTTTTCTATTACCGTAGCAATGCTTTGACCACAACAAACCAGGTGCAAGGCACTTAAATTGCACATGGGACACTTGGCATATATATATATATATATGTGTGTGTATAGGTGGAGATGATGTCCAGCATGAATAAATATATGGGTGAAGATGATAAAGGGTTAATATCAGTGATTTATAAGGATTTGCTCTTTTCACCAATAGTCTAATAGTGGTGTAAACTGAATTTCAACTAAGTTTTGCACTTTGTAATCCAGCCAGCCTAATGAGCTTGGTGCTAAGCAAAAGGCTCCATTGGTAGTGAATAAAACACATAAGTAACAGAAATGTTATTATACTTGTCTTGCTGGAAACTCTTTTTGGGCCAGTAATAAATGAAGTGGTTTAAATGATTGTCATTTTTACCATCATGTCATATCACAAAATTAACATATTACGTTTTGTCAAGTTAAGAACTACATATCATAAAACTATATGGGTAATTACCCAAAAAATACTAGTTTTGTTTCGTATTATATTTTGGTATTACTCCCTTGAAAAGATTTTTGTTGTTTTTCAACATCAAATACAACTTTCTACAAATTATAATTTTACTAAATCTTGTTGTGAGAAACTATTTTTAAAAAAAATAAAACATTGAAAATACTTCTTAGAATTAGAATTTTTATTATTGACCAGAAAATTCAATTTCATATATATCCAGTCTATTTCAATTTAATTGACATTCATGTTTCTTTTGATACTTTATTTTGCTTTAAATTGTAAATACATGGCAAAAAAGACAATGATTTATCAGTGACCTAAGGTCTTACCTTTCAAAATGGCATCACATTCATTAACTTTGTGATTTTGTTAACAATATTCTTGGTCAAGAACAGTTTAATAAATATAGTTTGGTTTAAATAGATAAATTTGCTTTCATCTATGTGAATTGTTTGAATATAATAAATTTAATGATATTCAATAATCAAGGATTTGAGTCAATGAAATATTTTGCCTTCGCATCCTTTTTTTTTTTTACTAAACCTAACTAAGTGTATCTGATGTCTTGTTATAGAATAAATTTTCTGTTACTTTCAGACATACATATTTTAACCCAAAAACATTTTCAACAATGAAAATAAAATCTGAATAAAGTACAAAAAAATTATTAGGTCTGTTATTTATCACAATGTGCTGTAAAACTTCATATTAGAATTCTTTTTTCACCCCTACAGGAGCAACAGGTAGTCAAGATCTTGAGAATTATTTGTTTGTGTGTTTTATAAAAAAGCCACATTGGGCTATCTGCAGTGTCCACTGTGGGGAATCAAACCCTGGATTTTAGTGTTGTAAGTCCATAAACTTACTCCTGTCCCACAGATATATATTGAGAAAACAAAAATTACTGCTCAAACCTTGATATTTACCCTGTTGTTGGCTCTATATTATTAAAGCTGAGATTCATTAGTAATTGTTAAAGCTACATGACATGATAACATAAGAGTGGGAACAAAGGACTGCAGTAACAAAACCGGCAAATATAGGAAAATCATATGAAAAATAAGACATGAATCATTACGTTTAAGGAAGTTATTAGTTTCTTATTAAATATAAATTTATACTTTGAAACAAGTAGAACACTTTTAAAAAGTAACTAATAAATGTTCAAAGGTGAGTCTCCCCAGAACTGTGTAGTAATTTTGATTTTTTTTGTCATTTCTTTTTGTGAATCAAACTAAATAAATGTGAATATAATGACAAAAATATCAATTCTAAAATATTTTTGAGTTAAAAACTGTCACAAAGAGTTAAAAATTATTATTCGTACTTAAAATTTGAAAGTTGATATGCAGATGTGTACTTGATACCTGAAGGGTGCATGCTGATTTGGAAAGGGTTAAATTTGAACATATGCAAATGTTACTTTTCTGTAGGTTAGTAACATTTTATAAATAAGCACATCCCTAATTTCAAAATAAAGAGACAAACACATATAACTACTATAATCTGAGTCAATAAAAAAAAATATGAACTATGTACAAAGTACTTATTTGATGGAAAACCATGTTTCATGCAATAATATGCTTTTACTTGGTTTGATACAACAATTTACAATACAAGCTAAAATGCAAACAAATGCATTTTATTACTGTAAAAATTATTATAAAACAACTGAAGTCAATGTTTTAATTCAAAACCTTTTTTCACTAATAAAATGCTGATTTAAACAATTCTTACAAATAGGCCAAAAGTATAATATTAATAATTCTCATTCAAAAATTATTGATTTACTAAACATAGGTTGAAAGCTATTAAAAATATAATGTTGTAAAAAACACATTTTTTTCTGAGCTGATCACATTTCAGCATAAAGTACACATAAAAAGGCAAGCTGCCATGCTGTATATCTATATCCAGCAGACTAATGCTACTTGTTTTTATTTAAATAATTTTCAGTCTACATTTTGGTATTAATAAAACTAAGGTGGCTCTACCACCTACATAAAATGTATACACTTACTAGGCATTAAGACAGAAACTGTCATAAAAAACAACAACCAAAAATGCAGGTCAGATTGATGCAAAATAATCCATGCAAAATATATTAAGACAATTAATGACAAATATCATGCACTATTTTCAGGCAAACAACTACCATAACAAATCAAGAAAGGTAAATAAAAATATTCATGCAAATCATACAGGTTTCATTTCTCTTAAGAAAAATGACGAATGTTTACCATTGTTACTCCAAATACGAAATGTATTTTCCCAGTCCTTAAAGCTGTGATGAGGGATAGACCACACCACTTGAGCAGCAGAAAAAAATGAGAAACAAATGTAAAGTTAAAACATTAAAGGAGGGTAAAATATTTCAGTACTTAGTAGCAAACTACATGGATTTATATGCAAGTTTCCTAAAATTAGAATTTAAGATATGGGAAATTTGAAGTACATAACAACACAGATGGGTGAAGATATTATATTAAAGTGATTTTGAAAATTCAAATCAGCAGGTCATGAGACAAGCACAGTCCATGTTAAGTAAAGTGTAATGGCATGTATGAGAACTATATTTTAACATTCTTTGCTATTTCACAAGTAGAGCTGGAGAATTAGTGTAATTTGATAATCAATTAATCACCAGGTTTACTAATCAATTACATTCAACTGAACTATCATTCTTACATGAGACTTTGTTAGCTGGAATAATGATAAATAATAATAACTAGAAACAAAATTTCAATTATTTTTGATTATTTTTATTAGCTGTGACACTGATCAATTAAGCTGAACAACCTTGAATTAACTGAAAATAATAATGAAAAATCATAATAGCAATGTTCTGATTACTTGGATAGTTGGAATAATCAAAAACAGTTGCAATCAAACAAAAATTTATCTTAGTTGATTATTTTTGTGACATGAATTTACTTAATCATAATCTTGATTGATTATTTTACATGACACCGATCTACTCACTCTATGCTTGTAGATAATAGATTATTTTGATTAATCAAGTTAAAAGTCCACCTCTATTCATAGGTATGTGATACCACTGAGAACAGTTTATGGGACAGGTACATTACAGCCCTTTCTGACACAAAAGATTATACTAATTAATCAAGTTAATAGCCCACCTATAGTCATAGGAGTGTGAAACCAATGAAAACATCACTTTTGGGGCAGATATGTTACAGCCCTTTCTGACATAATAGATATGTTCAGATCAAGGATTTCAACTTTCAAAGTTGGAGATATCCCTTGTACTTAATGGCCTTGGAAGACAAAGGAATATTGATCCACATGGGACGAAAAAGCCAACCAGAAAGAGACCTGCAACAAGTCATGTCCCAGTCATAGTAAGCAACATGCAACATCTTGTAACAGATTAGAATCCACAAACACAAAGGAGAGTGGCAAAAGATCCACATGTCCCAGATAAATAAGAGAATGCAACATAAGCAAGAAAGATTTCCATCTGGAGATGCAATACAAGTTGCTTTGACAATATATCCATTCAACTTTCACATACCTCAAACAGCTGAAGAATGAAATGGATATTCGTGCTATTCCATGTACCAGTCAAATCACAGGATGTAGCATCTATGAATTTATGTGCAATCAGACTGTTGAAATGGATATTTGGAAACCACTGTCCTATTTACTATACTGATTATGGAACACTACAAGAGGGAGTGATGTGCTTTGAACATGACAACATTATGACAGAGCCTTTTGAAATGGAAGCTGCACTGTAACTCTATTGTCAAGATCAATGATCAGATAGAGTATAACCAGATGTGGCAACATGGAATGTAATGAGGCAGAGAGGCTTCAAAATTCTTTTAATATAATGCACTCAACCTCTGTATGGTTATTGTCATATCATACATCATCATCTACAACTCCAGTGTAAGATTTTGAAATTTTTAAGTGTACAATAATCAAGCACTGTGCTTACATTGCACCCCAACATCTACAACTCAGGTGCAGAATCTGGGAAGTGAAGTATAAGATAACACATAATGTTCTTATATGATGCTGCATTACTCTTCCTTTATGAAATTGTTTTAGACAAATTTGACCTTACTATTTCTCTCTCATTAGATTGTTAAAGCATTAAGGCCATTCCTTGTAATCTTTTGAGTCCAGTGTTCTACAAAATTAAAAGCATTAGGATTTTGTAACTTCTGGGCACAGACTGTTAAAAGCCTAGAGTTTATCCATGCAAGTTATAGAAATTTGCCAATCTTTTCTTCACTAGATGATAACAGCATATATAATCTCCTTTATTATGAAAAACATCTTACTTTAAGATGAAATATAACAATCCAGGCAGAAAAATCATACTTCAGTTACGAATAATATTATAATTCAGTTTATCAACTTATGCTCAGACCATTCCCTACCAATGGGATCCATATATATTGCATCATATTGAGTAATTTTGTATTTTTCTATTACAACTGTAGGTAAGGAGCTTTAAACAAAATTAACTGGGTAAAATAATTGGTTTTATATATAAATTATTGGGTGAAACCACCAATTTTCTACATAAAATATATATAAAGCCCCAGCAGTTAGTAAGGGGATTAACTGTAATGCTGATGGTATTTTAGTTTATATAAAAAAAAAGTGTGAGACTCGTATGTTATGAAAAACTCTATAACCAATCATGTCTTGGGCACACAAGTAATATGATGCATAAACAGTTAAGAAAAATGTGTTTAAAGTGGGCCCAATATAAACCTCAATGGTAACATTATGGTAAAAAGTATAAACCTGGAAGAGGATTCATAGTTATATTTCATACAAATTTTATTTGCCTACAGTATTTCCAGAAATGTGTAAAAAAAACCCAACAACAACAGAAAGTTATTTTTTTACAATAACTTTCCAACTCCACAACCAGAAACACTAAAAACTAGATAAATACAAGTTTGTGGTTCTTTATATAGAAAGATGTTCCAGATAAAAATATATTCTTCATAATATTAAACTGTAAAAAATCACATTACAGAAACATATCTTTAATCCTCATAAATGGTCAGCACATAAAAATATTTGTTTTCGACAACTATAATAATTATTATCACGTTGACCTAGTGAAAGTAGTACACAGACCAAACTGGTAACCTGGAAATCCACCTTATGGATGTGTTCCTAAGACAACTATATTGTATAAACTCTTCTTTAAAAACATATGTCATGAATTTTGTTTGAATAGAATTAGTGGCTAACAATATTTCCCATAATGTTTTCCAGACAAAAAAGAAAAAAGAGAAATACTTGAATGGTAATACCCTATTTTAGCTTTGCAAGTATTGCCAAAATACTTTATTTGATTGTTCATATTCTTAGTATATGTATTAAATATAATATACGTTTTCTGGACTAGAGTTGTGTCATTCATATCTCTAAATTTTTTACATCTGACAAGGAAAAGACTTAATCAAAATTAAATGAAAGTTAGCATAAACTTATTAAATAGTAACTAGTTTCAGCTTGAAAAAATATCACATAATTTGATATAATTTTTTTTATGTAGTGAAATTTCCATTTTATATATCTAGTCAATGTCAACTTGATTAATTTTCATTAACATGTTTCTTTTGAAACTTTACTTTTACCAATTAAAGTGTTTACAACTTTCAGCTATGTATATATATCATAAAAAACACAATTTAAGGTGACAAAGACTGATCATTGACCTCCGATTTCACCTTTTAGTAATGGTTTCAGGTCAGAATAGATAACGATATTCTTAGGTTGTAATACAATTTTACTGCTGTACGGCC